CTGAATGTCACAAGTGAACTTGTGTATATGTGTTCTTAATGTATTTCTAACTGTATCATTTTTCTTAAGTTTCAAAGCTTATTTTTAACCTCATCCTAAGCAAGGAGATCTTCAAAACTGTGGGCTTTTCTGGGTAACTAACACTTTCCAGATTCAGATAAATCAATATGAGGGGCCTTCAAAAGCTTTTTGGAAAAATGTAATGCAAAGATAATATATTTTCTTCCAAACTTTCTGAAGCCCCCTGGTACGTAATTATTTTTAAATAGTCCTCTGTCTACATCAAAATCATCTTGTCTTCCACAAGGCTTTCAAGCATTCCTCTTCCTGCCCAGTTGTATAAGACGACTAGTTAGCAGAATTCATGGTTTTTGTTTGCTGGTGAGGTGCTGTAGGATAAGCACTGGACTGTTAACCAAAAGGTCAGCGGTTCAAACCCACCAGTTGCTTCTTGGAAACCCTATACAGGATCAGGAACCAACTCGGCAGCACTCAACAACAGCAAAGTTAAGAGGCAGGCCTGCTTAGTGATGCCTGAGGCAGGAGATCTGTCATCTGTCATACACATAGTCAGATCCAGTGTCACCTCCAAGGTGCCAAGACAAAAAAGACACACATGGCCCGCCCCCCATGCTACTGCCTTAGAATAACCAGGATCCGCACCCCGAGTTTTCCTCCCGCAGCCTGAATTGATTTGCCCCTCCTGCATCTGCTGCTCTGTGTCCCTGGCACCGCAACACTGAAGGCATGTGGTCAAGAGGAGGTACTCACATCTGTCTTTCTTGTCCCTTCCCAAAAGGTTTAGCTTCTTCTCCAGAGACAAGAAACGCCTGGCCAACGCCCAGAGGAGCACACACATCCAGGAGTCCTTCGGTCAGTGGGCAAACTCACACCGAGACGACGGTTACACAGAGCAAGGACAGGAAGCTCTGCAGCATCTGTGAACTTGACCCGCGTCGGCCCTGGGACCTGAACCATATATATGGCCAGCACCTGCCATCAAACCTGGCAGCCCCAGGTTTTACTGCTGGAGGCACCTTGCAGTGGTCTTGGATGCTCCCTCGAAATCAAGCCCTCTAACAAACTGTTGGCTTTGAGGAAGGCCCTATCCCAACTGCACCAGACTCTAAAGACCTGTTTATTTATACCCAGGGCGCTCAGTTTACCGTAGATGACTGCAGTTCCTTCGACTATTTAATAATCCCGTGAACGAAGGCCGGACTTTTGCGTTAGGAGCTTCTTTAAACCAAATACATCACTCGCCACTAGAATCGCTCTTTGAAATGCTGTTTAGAACTGGGTAGAGGGTTTTTTTGATCACGTGGGAGCATTTTGGTGAGTGTGCTTGGGAAACGTTCAGGGTGATGGCATATTCTGGAGGGTGAACTGACTGGGCGGTCACGACATTTGGGGCCACAGGGACAGCAGTCCCTCAGCCCAGAAATTAGAGACAGGTTTGCTAGAGCCCCGAGGTCCTATGCTGTACTGTTCCCGGTCATGACTAGGCTAGGCACATAGTACGTTCAAGGCCATGTGCCTTGGAATCGGCCATGAGTTCTGCAGTACCTCCCAGAGTTGCCAAGGGTGAGACGGAGCAGTATCTCGTGTGGATTTCTCCCTGCATCTTTTTTGATCCTTTAAGCCTTCACTGGGGGGGTACAGTGAAGTGCTCAGCTGTTAATTGAAAGGTCAGTGCTCTGTGGGACCTGTAAGTCGGCATCTATTCAGACTCACAGCCTTGGAAACCCTCTGGGCAGTTCTACTCTGTCCTGTCAGGCTGCTGTGAGTCAGTTGTCTCGACAAAAGTGGGGTTTCTGTGTTTGAATGAATCGTGCAAAGGTTAATGCACTAGGCTGCTAACCAAAAAGTTGGAGGTTTGAGTTCACCCAGAGGTACCTTCAAAGAAAGGCTGGGCATTCAGCTTCAAAAAACTCAGCCCTAGACTTCTACTCTGACACACATGGGGTCTCCATGAGGCAGAACCAACTCAACGGCAGCTAGGGAAGGGTGACTAGGGAATGCATGAAAGTGGGTGAGGCAAGACTTAACCAAGCAAGGGCTGAGTGGAAGATGGCTTGAAGACCACATGGCTGGCCAGCTCATGGTTCCTGGGCAGGTGGCGTCAGTAGCCAGTGATTTGGGGGTCTGTCCAGTTTAACTCTCTTCACCTGAAGAGCTTCCAGCACAGAGCTGGCAACTCACAGCTTTCGAGGGCGCATTTCCTGCAGAAGCACTCAAATCCATGTGATGGGCCCTTTGGTACACATTTTACAGTGTTTCCTAAAAGCCATCACATAAATCAGCCAAATCCACAAGTGGAGCCTTTTTCCCTACTGCTTACAAAAAAATCAAGACAGGACGGTGTTGATGTATTAGAATAATAGTCCGCACACCCAGCAGCGTAGGAGATTCTGAATTTATTCTTAGAGAATAAAAGCATGAAGGCTGAGGAATCCCAAAGGTAACCAGTGTTGCCAGTTTTGTAAGCATCCTTCTAGAAATATTTTATATGTATATACACATATAAGGGTTAAGTCAAAAAGTATTGGTCTTAGGGTTCCAGTTCATACATACACAGGTTTCCAAACAACAGTTACGCTTCTCTCATGAGTTCGTGGCTAACAATCTGACTCAGGCTTCATTGTTAAAGTGCCATCGATTTGTTCCGATGTCAGACTGTAAATCTTTACAAGAGAAGAGCCTCACCTTTCTGTGGTGGAGCAGCTGGTGTACTCAAACTGCTGACCTTGTGGTTAGCAGCCCAGCATATAACCCAGTATGCCACCACAGGTCCTTTAGGTTTGTTAGGGTGCTTTCAAAAAAAAAAAAAATGAGGTCCAATCAAAGCAGTGGCTTCCAGCAGATCTGCTGGGTCAGATAAATCCATGGCAGAGGTCTCAGCTCAGAAGGTTATGGTGACTATTTTTAGGGATTCCAAAGGGGCCATCTTGACAAGATTTTTTTTCAACAGGACACAGGATTATCACAGGGGTTAATTGGTAAGAAATTTAAGAAAACTGCAATGGTGAGAAAAAGGCCAGGAAAGTTGCACCAAGGAGTTTTTTCCCATTACAACAGTGCACCTGCTCATTCTTTGAGGTCAGCAAAGGATATCCTATGAGGATTTCATTGGTGAACCTTACGCCCTCCACCCCACAGCCTGATCATGCCCCTTTACACTTCTTTTTGTTCCCCCGACTCAAATAACATTTAAAAGGAACACAATTTTAGTCTTGAGGATGCCAAAATCACTAGCGTGGTGTGATATAAATCACGGAGCATGGAATTCTCCAGGGAGGGGTTGGAGACATGGAAACACCACCCTCAGAAGTGTACAGATCTAGATGAAGGATATTTTGAGAAACAAAAGCTTCATGTTGTGATATTTTTGATTAATAAACATTTCTATGAATTTATAGCAACTTTGCCACTTACCTGCGCATGTTTATAATGTTCCCCTGCTTTTCTTTACGTAAGCGGCCGCACGCTATACTATATATACTGTACATATGCTGCTCTGTACCTTTCTTTTTTCACTTAATATATCCAGAGGCTCACTTCCATTAGTATGCAAGGATGTGGTTGTCACCTGGATAGTTTTTGCCCTCCAGGGGACACTTGGCAGTGTCTGGAGATATTTTTGGTTGTCAAAGCTGGATAGGGGAGTACTACTGACTTCCTGTGGCAGCCTGGGACGCTGCTAGATGCCTTGCAGTAGAAGGAATTACCTGGCCACAGTGCTAACCGTGCCAATGGTGAGCAACTATAGTGTTGACTTACAACACTCGTCCAGCCCCCTACTCATGGGCAGGTAAGTTCCTTCCCATCTTTTCCTACCACAAACAATGCTGCAGCGTAAATGCACCCTTTCACATGCATGCAGGTCTGCAGCATAAACTAGGAGCAGATTGTTAGGGTTGAACTGTATCTTCCAAAAATGTATGCTGAGGTCCTGCCTCACTCCCGGTACCTGTGAATGACCTTGACTGGCATTAGGGTCTTTGCAGATGTCATTAGATAACACAAGGACCTACCTATTAGATTAAAAAAAAAAAAAACAGCCACTGCCATCATTGCCATCAGGTCACTTTCAATTCACAGAGACCCTAACAGAGTTTCCAAGACTCTGAATCGTTATGGGGACAGCCTTATCTTTCTCCCTGGGAGCAGGAGGTGGATTTGAATCACTGACCTTGTGGTTGCCAGCCCAACACCTAACACACAGTGCCACCAGGGTTCCTAATCTTTATGATTGGTGTCTCTATTTCCATGAATAGACACAATGGCTCACAGACACCATTCAGTCCTAGTATTGAGCCCACCCTCAGCTCACCTTTCAGCCAACCTCCAAACAGCCCTATGAAGTGAACAGTAACACCTGTGAGGAATGCACCCCTCAGAACAGGCAACCGTAAGACACCACACCAGCAGGATGTGCCCCAAAGTAAAGCTCAGAGGCAGGAAGGGACAGGAGAGGAAGCAGAAGAGTGCTGTGACACTAAGGTGAATGCAACTAACATCAAGAAACAAAACATGTTATCAACTGTAGACCGGGAAACTACTGTGCTCTGTAAACTCACCCAAACCACACTAAAGAGAAGAGACAGAGGAAGACACACCCAGAAGATGGCCCTGTGAAGACAAAGGCCGAGACTGGCGTGATGCAGCTCCAAGTCAAGGAACACCAAAGATTTCCTGAAGCCACCAGAAATGATGAGAGGCAAGGAAGGGCACCTGTGGAGGGAGCACAGCCCAGGCAACATCCTGACTCTGGACTTTGGGCCTCCAGAACTGAGAGAGAGCACATTTGTATTGTTCTAAGCCCCACAGTATGTGGAATTTTTGTTACCGCAGCCATGGTACACTCATACATAGAAAGTAGTGTGTTTACTTTGAATCTGGATTCCAGGTTGGAAAGATAACATACTCCAGACCCCATGATCATCTGTGACATTTATCCACCGCAGCGATGAGCTTTGTATACAGACCGGGCACATGACTCAGGCTTTCTCTTCATCTTCTGGTTTACTGCTGAGCCTCCATTTGCTCCGGTCCCTCTTCTCCCTGCCCTTGGGCCTGTCATCTCTAAAACCCTTTTCTCTCTCCCAGTCATTTTCGGGCCAAGTCCGGGCTGACTCTCTCTCCTGCCACCGCTTCTCCCTGCCCCGGTCGTGGTCTCGATCCCTCGGCCTGGAGTCCCAGTGTCGTTCACGGGAGGGTGATCGCTCCCTCCTCTCCCTTTTCCCCTCCCTGTATATGTCATTCTTAACAACTGGCAAGTTGATAGGTTTTCGAAAAGGCCGATCCCGTCCCCCAAATCTCAGCTGCCCAGATTCCTTTTTCCCACCAAGCCCTCCTCCAAGCCGTCGAGGAATCCACCCTTTGAGAGTCCTTTCCAGCTCATAATCCACAAATATCTCATGCTGGTCAATGACTAGGCCGTCTGCATCCCTGTAAGCATTCAACAGAGAACGTTCGTCCTTGTATTCTATGAAGGCATAGCCCTTGGAAAAGCCGGTGACCAAGTCCCTGACCAGACGAAGCCTCCGGATATCACCATACCGGGAAAACACCTCCTTTAGCTTCTCCTCTTTGGTCTGCAGGTTGAGTCTGGCTACAAACAGGGTGAGGAGGGGGTCTCCCGTGACACCTTTGTTAGGGACATAGCGGGCCAGCATTGCCCTCCAGACTGCCCGGTCATGTGGTTCTTCATCGGTGCCATCGATGCTGCCAGCTTTAAGAGGGTCATACTCCTTGGCGATGGGCATCCACTTGTTCATGTTCTGAAAAGAGTAGCAAGTGTTTAGGTGGTGTCTGCTCTGTATCAGGCACCCATTAATCCTCCCAACCACCCAGTGAAGTAGACAGAGAGCATTATCTAGTTCTGCTGTTAGGGGAGGAAGCACATCCCCAGCACAGAAGTGGGGGAGTCGCTTTCAAATGCAGGAAGTCAGACATAGACTCAGCTCTTGCCCACTCCTCCACCCTCCTCTCAGGACAAAGCAGAGGGTGGTGTGCTTGTGTCTAATTGCTGCTGACGATGACGAGGCTCAATCTCGATCGGGGCGCATGGATCAAACGTGAGGATAGCTTTCCAAGGACTTTAGCCTGTCTAGGGACTGCTGTGAAAGTGACGTAGCACCAAGACTCCACTACCAGAATCCCAAACATGCCAACTGTTTAGAACACACAAACCAACCAACCTGACACAGTGAATCTGCTAGAGTTCATTTTGGTTCTAAAAGGTTCATGAGTCGGCGGCACAGGCTCAGCCACAAATATTTCACCACACAGAGCAAAGTCAGTGTTTTTAACAGAAAAGGCACAAAGAATGAGACACAAACAAAATAAAGCAGAGCCACATTCATATATGTTGACATGATAAGCAGGATATAAGGAACACCCAAACATTTAAACTTATGTGGTATTGCTGATTAATGTGCTGTACTGCAAAGTTGGTTTAAACCGCAAGGTTGGCGGTTCAAGCTCACCAGTTGTGCTTTGGAAACACTACACAGGGTCGCTATGGGTGGGAACCTACTCAACGGCACTTAACAATAACAACAATCAAAAGTCAAGGAGTATTATGACTAATTGCGACGGTCACAACAATAAAGGTAGAAGTTTTGTAACAAAAACCAGAGAGTAGTTAATCATATAGTCCAGAAACAGAGGACCCTAGGACCATTAAGGGAGAAGCGCACAAGCAGAGTGCGGGATCCTATCCAGGAAAACAGTGACATCAGAGATGGAGGCAGAGACGAGGACATGGAGAGAGGGACCAGCTGAGGACTCTGGACTCATGGAAAGAGAGGGACTGAGTGCTGGCGGCCAGGAGGCAGGCTTGCAGAATGTGCCCTTTGGTTGTTCAAATTATTATATATTCCTGAGTGTTTCTGTGTACACCCCCCAAAAATAAAAACCACATACACACACACAAAGTCAAGGCGTTATGGTGGCACAAAAGGTTAAGCATTGGACTGCTAACCACAAGTTCAGTGTTTCAAACCCACCAGTCCCTCTGCAGACAAAAAATACGTCCGTCTGCTTTCATAAGGGTACACAGTCTCGGAAACCCTATGGAGCAGTCCTACTCTGTCCTACAGGATTACTATGAGGAAGAATTGACTTCACGGCTGGCAGGGTTTATTCAGTCTATTTAATAATGTCTGAACTGAAACTTCCGAGCAAGCAAGCAAATATATAAGCAGAAATAAGGATTGCAATGAGGTCAAAAGGAGATGGAAATTTCAAAAAGGAAGGAGAGGACAAGGTAGAGTTATCTAAGTCTGTAATCCTTTTAAAGAGCCTTTTTGACTCCAGCAGGTCTAGAGAGTAAAATACAAATTCCACACAACATAGAGAACAATATAAGAATCCCTCGTGAATTCACCTGGCTCTAACTATGATCAGCATGTGGCCCATGGTGTTTCATCTCTGTCCCACTCACCTCCCTGGCCCTGGATTATTTTGAAGCCAATTTTAGACATTGTATCATTCATCTGCACACATTTCTGTATGCATCACTAAAAAAACTTTCCAAAAGAAAAAAAAAAAAATCCAAGGAAAAATGATCTAAATACAGCATTTTGCAGAAAGCAGCTTAGTAAATCTAAGACCAGAGTGACCTGTCACAGATCTCTTATTTCAAAAGAATCTGAAATTTCTTCCCAACTCCTTAGCTGCTACTCAGTTTATGCCTTGAAGTACAAGAATGGACCATAAGGGTAATTTTAGCCCAGCAAGCCCAGTCCAGTTGTCATTCCTTCTAACTCAGGGTAATTAATTTGTGTGAGTCTTTGGTGCAATACAGTGCCTGCCAATATTACAGAAACTGCAAACAGTTCTACAACCTCCTCTATAAAAGACTTAAAATTGATATTCCTCATTCCTAATAACATCATTCTGTCACAAGTAAGTATCTCAAATTGTTCACCTCTTACTCAAATGTGTCAAGGTTTTTTGTTGTTGTTGTTTTGCTCTTCATTTTAATCTGAGGGAGTGGTTGCTTACAGGGTACACTGCAGACTTATTTTTCCCACAGTATAAAAGCCAAATACCTACAGAATAAACACAAGACCCTAACAAAGTTTCTCACCATATCTCATCACTAACTCTATATTATTTCTCTTTTATTAAAATATGTATACTGTATTATGTTTTTGGTGAAGGTTTACATAGCAGTTTAGATTTCCATTCAACAATTTCTACACAAGTTGTTCCGTGCCCTTGGTTACCTTCTCCACAATGTAAGAACATTCTCATTACGAAGGGGCTTCAAAGAGTTCATGAAAAATTCCATTAGATTTCACTCCATCTTCCCATGAATTTTTGAAGCCCCATCATATTTTCATTGGCTGTTCCATTTCCAATTATCTCATTTACCTGGTCCCCTTTACATCCTCATGTTTTAAAGTCATTATTGACCTTGTCATATATATGTGATTTTTTTTAAAGGACCACAGAACTTTTGGGTGATATTTTTTTGTGAGATAATCTGTTATTCATTTACAATACCGTGTTAGCTTGGTTCAAGATTTGAAGAGTCTATCAGGGCAATAAACTCAAGGAGTCCTCCAGTCTGAAGCAACCCAGGAAGTTTGGGGTGTTTTTTTAGGAATTCGAAATTCTAGATAACCAGTTAGCCCTATTCTTAAACCAGGTAGAATCTCTCCTCCTTTGAAAGTGCTTGTATAATTATACTCCTTGTATAATTTCCACCACTGGGAATAGCCTCTTCTCTTCCACCTCCTACATGTCTCCTGGTGGAAATTCTCCCGGTGCATCCAAGTCCCGCTTCAAGTCCTTCCACATGAAGTGTACTTGCCTCTCCCACAGCAAACCTCTTCTAATAGAAGGATCACATGCTACCCAATCAGGCCTCTGGGTGGTGCAAAAGGGTTGCACTCCACTATGAATCGATGAATTCCTGGTGTGGCACAAAAGAATAAGCACTGGACTGCTAAACACAAGCTTGGCGGTTCAAACCCACCAGCTGCTCTACAGAAACCATATAGAGGGTTGCTATGAGTCAGAACCAACTCAGCATCACTTAATAACCACCACAACTAACCAATAGGCTGGGGTGTCAGCTACCCAGAGGTGCCTTATAAGAAAGGTGGCAATTACTTCTGTAAAGATTATACTCAAGAAACCCCTAGGGAGCTCAGCACTGCTGGTGGGATTGCCATGAGTTGGGGTCTCAAAGGCAACGTTAGTTCCCCACCCCCACCCCAATTCAGAAAACACTCTTCAGTCTAGTTGGTATTGCTTTGTCTCCAGATCCTGGGATACTTCCTGACGCATGCTATGGAAATGATCCAACTCTAATCAGAATACTGAACTTTTTTGTCCAAAACAGGCAAAAAGTATCACTTCATTGAGCTCTGAGAGGCAGGACAAACAGGCATTATGTGGTAAAACCAGGGCAGTGTATGTCTGTCATGATTACTAAGCAGCTTTGGAGAACCCGCCTCTCTGGTGTCCTTATCAGTAAAAGGATGATAAACAGCAGGAGCCTGCAAGATAGCAAGGCAGTTCTGGTCCTAGTCTAGGCTCTGCCCCCACCTCACTTTGTGCCTCTTCTCTCTCATAGCTGGAATTTCCATCTATACTTGCACGAGTATTCTCTAAAACAATTCCATTCTACTGGCCCTAAAATTCTTCTATTCTAACCTTACTCATTACCTCCATCACAGAGCTTCAAGAAGAAAAAAAGGACTATAAGAATTACATAGTTAAAAAAAAAAAAAAATTACATAGTTAATTTGCACTGATGACTTAAGAGGTACCAGACATTGTGCTAAATGCTTAACTCATCTTACCCTCAAAACGATACCATTTCATTTGTTACTGTCAGTTCAGATGAGGAGAGTGAGACACAAGAATTCTACTTTGGCCTCACCTCACAAAGCCAAGAACTCAGCTAAGGAGTTGGAATCCAAAGGCTGTTACGATTATAAAGTTCAAGTTCTTATAACCATTTCTTTAGAGAGCTTGCATGAAATGCACAGCTTTGGCCGTAGACTGTAAGAAAATCCACCAGATTCTGGGTAGGTGAGTCTGCACACTCCCTCCATACTTCACATCAGGGAGAATCCTTTCCTCATTCAATGGAGAGGGTCACAAATGTCTTCCCCCCAAAAAAACAGACACAGGCAAATCTTAGAGACAGTGCAAGTTCAGTTCCAGACAACCATTAATAAAGCTATTGTCACAATATAGCGAGGCTCACACATTACAGAAAAGGTGCATTTACACCACACTGTAGTCTGTTGTTGCTGTTATTGTTAAAGGTCATCGAGTTGGTTCTGACTCACAGAGACCCTGAATAGTGTTTCCAAGGAGCGGCTGGTGAGTTTGAACTGCCAAGCTTGCATTCCAAATGGAACTTGCGACCTGACCCACTCTTTCTGTTACAGTGCCACACCGGTCTATGAAATGGCATTATGAAAAGTTTGAAATATTGTGCGCATGACCAAAATGGGATACAGAGACACAAAGTGAGCACGTGCTGTTGAAAACATGGCCCCAACAGACTTGCTGGACATAAGGTGGTCACAAACCTTCCATTCGTGGAAAAACACTCTATCTGCAAAGCACAATAAAACCAGTATACCTGGTTTGATTATACACAGAGCTCCAGTTCAAAGCTTTAAGAGTTCTTCAAATTAAAATCTGGAGATAATTACCAAGGCATAAATGTGGATGTTCCATGAGCTCCCTCAACTGTCTTCTTCTAGCAAGACAACATGCCAGTGACACAATCCACAAAGACAAT